GAAACAAAACATTCAATCCGTGGAGACCATGGAGTTCGTTTTCGCTGATGAGACTGTAAGTTATTTTTCCTGTATTTATCATTCCGTTCTTTATCATTGTTTCGAGTGTTATTTGATGTTTCTATATTTTTGTTTTACATGTTTAAGGGGCAAAAAATCCATGCAACATGTAAAAGGACTTACATTGAAAGTAAGACAATGCTTCTTACAGTTGGAGCATGGCGCTACCTCCGGAATTTCCAGATTACTCCTGCTGGTGGAGCTTATCGAACCACAAATCATTCATGGAAGATGGTTTTCAATCAGAACACGGCCGTTACGCGGTCTAATAGAGTTAATGAAGATTTGTACCTGGATTTGGCCGACTTTCAATCTGTATTGTCTGGAAGTCTGGATGACAATTTATTGATTGGTAAGCATAAATTTTTTTAGATGTTTCATGCTATCTCGAGTGTATTATATAATAATGTAAATATATACCTGTTTTTGCAGATGTTCTTGGACAAGTTATGGATTGTGGTCCAGTCGAAACCATTCAGTGTGCTGGAGGAAAGCAACGAAAAAAGCTTGAGTTAACTCTAACCGACATAAAGTAAGTCAAAGCGCTTATGGTGTGCTCATTAACCAAGATTATATCACTAACCATATCTTAACTTATATTCGTAGTGATTCACGTTTACCCTGCTGCATCTGGGGCAACTTGGCCGAGAAACTCCATTCTGCAATTAACCAAGAAGATGGAATGGTTACTATGTTGCTGAGGTTTGCTAAGCTTGGTAAATTTAGAGGTACATATTTACACTCAGTCCATTTTGAAACAAACTAATTCTGCATAAAATATTCATTTAGATGTATCGTTTTTTGTACCTTGAGAATTGCAGATCTCTAATGCATTTGATGCTTCTCAAATGATGATCAACCCTCCAATACCTGAAGCTGAAGCATTTAAGGATTTGTAATTTGTATCCTCTATCTTATTTATGACACAGAGACTACTAATATTACTGTTAAATAAGTGTCTTTGAAATTGTAACAGGATCAATGAGTCTGAAAAAACTCTAACATCTATCCAGAGTAACCAGGACAGTCATGAGGACAGCAACACCCAAGTTGGTCAGTTACTGACGCGAGGACATCGTGATAAGTGGTTGCTCTTTCCCACTAAGAGCATTTTCGAAATGATAACATCAACTCAAGTAAGAGTTTTTATGAGTCATTTACGAGTTACACCATTGTTGATATATTTAAAGAGATGATTTTGATAAATGCATTTTATCTGTAGGTTGATAGATGCTTGGTGAGTTGCACAGTGGATGTCATTGATATGGATTGGTCATGGTATTATTTTGGTTGTAAAGCTTGCAACAAAAGAGTGATCAAAACTGGAACCAAAGTTAAGCTCTTGAATGGTAAAGAGATCATTACTCATACTTGGTGGTGCGAGACATGCAAAGACAATGCTTTGAATTTTCACCAAGGTTTGATTTTAGATTAATTTTATACTGGCTATGTTTCACAAACTTACTTCAGGTACATATTATATCGCGTATATATATAATATATGTAATACATAGTTATACTCCTTTGTACAGATTCTGGCTGCACTTGATTGTTAGTGATGATACAGGCGTCTCGAAAATAATGATATTAGATAAGGTTGCTAATGGGATTGTTTATGAAAGTCCAGAAACACTGTTGAATAGAAGCTGGGATGAGGTATTTTTATTGATACATATTAATTTACGTTTTTTCAGTTGTTAAATATGCTATGAAATTAACATACTATATTTATATACTATGCAGCTTGACGATCCAACCTTAGTACCAAATTGTATTTCTGATTTGGTTGGCAAAAACTTCACATTTGGAGTCTATGTTGAGAAAGAAGATTTTGGGAATTCAGATCGCAGTGCCAAAGCAAATTTTGTTTGGAATCCAATTTCTAAAACGTGGGAATCAGAATTTGAAATTTGAACCATATTATCATTGTACCAATTGGTTTTCTTATTCTTTTTTTATTTCATCATTTACTTTTTTATCAATAAAAATAAAACCATTTAATTATTCAGATTAATCATAATCATATGATTTTGTTATCCAGTTATAGTTAAAATAAATTTTTATTCAAAAAAAATGCTCAAAAAAACAAAAAGTAAAAAAACAAAAAAATAGAAAAAAATTGTTCAAATAAACAAAAATGTAAAAACAACAAAAAAAATACCTGCGTTTTTTAAGCGCGGGTCAAAATCTAGTTTTATAATTAAACTAAAAAAAAACTAATTGGCCCATTAGGTATTGGCCCGGCCCATTAATCGAGTCATCACTCATCATCATCATTCATGAACAAACAAACCTTCTTCTACAGATTCGCACTTGGAAGAAGTTAAAATCGGATCCGAATTCAATTTCTCCTCCTCCTCCTAGGGTTTCTATATCCTTTATCATATCTTCTCCGGTACGTCAAAATCTCCACACTCGATTCCGTAAATTTTCAACCTTTATAATCTTCTTTTCTCGATTGTGTTACAAAAAAAAAAACTCATTTTTCTCAATCTCACATTCGTTTATGCGTTCTTCATTAAGATTTGATCTTACATCAATCTCTTAAACCTCTAAAGTTGTCTCCTTTATGTGATTTATTTCCCTAGAAAAAAAAACTAATTTTTAGAGCTAATATGTTTTTTTTCTAATTTTTTTGTTGGCATTAGATTCATTTTTGAAATTTATAAAATGGGTTTATAAAAAAATGGGTTTAAAGCTCTAAAGTTGTCTCCTTTAGTGATTTGTTGCTGTGATTTATTTCCCTAGAAAATCTATTTTTTTAGAGCTAATATGTTTTTCTCTAATTTGTTTTAGCTATAGATTCATTTTTGAAATTTATAGTCACTTTTGGCTATTTTTTTTGAGCTAATATATATTTTTTTTTGGCTAGAGGTTCATTTTTTGGCTATGTCTCATTTAGTGTCTCTTTTATTCTCTTTGTGACAGTGAATAGACAATGGCAGAGGCTATGGAGACAGAGATGGACTTCTCAGATGGTGAACAACAAACCAATGCTAATAATAATAACAACAGAGCTTCTCTTGTTGCTCTTTATGGGAACTCATCCCTTGGATTAGAGAAACAACATCATCATGAACAGATGCTGCTGCCTGGTTACATCTTTATGTGTAACGGAAGAACCAAACCTGATTGTTTCCGTTACCGTGTTTTCGGGATTCCGAGAGGTGGGAAAGCGGTTGTTGAGAGTATCAGACCAGGGATGAAGCTGTTTCTGTATGATTTTGAGAAGAGGCTTCTTTATGGTGTGTATGAAGCTACTGTTGGTGGGAGGTTGGATATTGAACCTGATGCTTTTGAAAGGAAGTATCCTGCTCAGGTGAGAATGAATACAAGTTTGATTTTTGTTTTTTTTGTGGGATTAGTGTTTTTTACTTTCTTGATCTTTGCAGGTTGGGTTTAGGATTGTTGAGAATTGTTATCCTTTGCCTGAAACTACTTTCAAGAGTGCTATCTATGAGAATTATAAAGGAGGCAAGTTTAAGCAAGAACTTGCTCCTCACCAAGTAATATACACTCTTCCTTGATATTTACCAATGTTCAAGAAATCGTTACGCGCTAGTTAGACGCTTTATATGAGATTATTTGAGCGTTTTATATGCCAACCGAGGATCTAAACCCGATTTTTTGAGCGACTAGGCTGATTTTTAGAACATTGATATTAACAAGACATCTTTAAGAGTGCTAGACTTTGTTATTGTATTGTAATTACAATGTTGCTGAACAAAATGATCATGGATTTGCAGGTTGGGTCTTTGTTATCATTGTTTCGTTCATTTGCATCTCCACAACTCGATGCATTACCTCATAGATTTGCTTCTAGAGCCTCAGCATCAAGGGAGCTATCTTTTGAGGAACGGTTCATTGCTGCTACACAACTTAAAAAAGCTTCGTCAGTTTTAGATCCTCTGTCTGCCCGCTCACATCATCTGCTTCAACATAGTTACTCCAGACAAGATGGCTACACAACCCCAGCGAGAGAAACACCTAGTCACTCAAATTTGGAACTGTCTTATCTTCCTGCTGAAAGTCGGCAACAACGGTTGTTAGGAGACCCTTCACGCTCATCTATACAAGACCCTCAGCTCAAATACCTAACCATTTTATCTAATATCCGGAGGTAACTATTACTGTAGTGGTTTTTAGTAGTTTTTTTAGTTAATAACTCAATGGCTTTGCAGTTACTTATATGTGAATGTGTAATCATTAGTGCTTTTTGTTTTTCTGTGACAGATATGGATCTGCTCCAGAGCCCTTGCCCTCAGAAAATGAATATCATCCGGCAACACCATCAGAGAAGGATCAATTTGCTTCTCCTTATTCTGATAAGAAGTATTACCTTTCGACATTACCTGGCAATGAGCATTCCTCTGCATCTGCAGCTAACGGGGGTGTATATAGAGGTGAGCTCTATACTCCAGCATCACAAAAGGAAGGGGAAGCTAGCCAGCAGCATGAGATCCTTGCTGGGACCTATTATCACCCAGAAGCATCTACCGTGTCCATGCAGGCAGCTAATGTTGCTCAATCTCATAATGCGACAGCTGGCTATCCTACACAGGCACATGGTGAATCCCCACAAGTAGCTGCTGGAGCAACTGATTACGCATACCAACCTCAAACCAGTCATTTACAGCTTGGGAGTGGGGGAGAAAGTGCAGCAGAATCATATGCTGGAGCAGTTAGTTATCCACCACAGCAACATTATGCAGTTACGGGGCAAACGACTCAGCTCTATGCTGGTGGACCTGGATATACTCAGCAACCCCATGAAACTGCGTACGCTCCGCAAACCTATTCTGCAGCAACTGGGTACGCTCAGCAAAACCACGCTGCATCAACTGGATACGCTCAGCAACCCCAAGATGCAGCAACTGGATACGCTCAGCAACCCCAAGATGCAGCAGCTCTGTACGCTCAGCAACTCCATGAAGCAGCAGCTGGATACGCTCAGCAGACCCTAGATGCAGCAGCTGGGTACGCTCAGCAACCATATGGTCAAGCTCCTGGATACACAACACAACCACATACTCAAGCTCCTGGATACACAACGCAGTATGGTGCTCAAGCTGTTGGATACACGCCTCAATACACAACGCAACAACATGCTTATCCTGGTGGATATGCGCCTCAATATAGTGCTCAAGCTGGTGCATATAGTCAACAAGCTGTGACGCAAGGTTCTATTCCAGGGGCTCAGACGACAACTGATTGGAATGCTGCAAGCAGGGCATATTCTGCAACAGGAGACTGGAATGCGGTGAATCAGTCTTATTACCATCACACAGCGGATACAACCACAACTTATAATCAAACATCTTAAAACTGAGCACTCTCGCGTACGTACTAAAACATGGTTTTGATTCAGGTGAGAAACAGTTTGATGATGATGAAAACCTCTTTGCAGGATCTGGAAAACTTGTGAGCGTGGTGGAGAAACAAGGAAGCAAGCTGGTGCATACACTGGAAAAAAAAAGGACAAAGATATAAAAGGTAGAGTCTCCAGCTCGTTTCCTCTATGTTAGCAAAAAAAAGCTATAGTATAAGGTTTTTATTTTCTTCTAAGTATGTCAAAATTCCTCTAAAACATCAAAACTTTCTTCAGATCCCTAATCAGAAGTGCAATTTGAAAGGCAACTCTGATTGGGATATGAACTTAATAAACCATATTAGAACTCTTTTATTACAAGCTTTTCCTAAAACACTTGTTTAAGTATATGTTTAATACTTGGGATATGCCATTAATTCTAAACGCAATACTGAGACCAAGAATACGATTATTAACTCTAAAGATGAAACCTATTGGTAGACAAAAAGACTTTGCTTTGGTTTTAAGTTTCCTCTGTGGTCAGGTCATAAGTCTCCCACTATGAATGATTTGAGCATTTGCATTGCAATTCACATTCTCTTTGTTTTTTTTCTGTTTGTCTTCTCCTCTCTTTTTAATTTTAAAGAAGCTTTTTCCTTTTGTCTTGTTTCTCCAAATTTAAAAAGATTTTCCTTCAAGCTCTCTTTCTTCCTCTCCTCCCCTATTTGTATTTACCTTTGTTAGCTACTGAGTTCACTTAAGTTCTGGTCCTGCCTTTTTTTTGTCTGTGTGTCAATGGTCCTGTCAGTTTACAGCAGCTTTGTGGATCGTGGTGGTTGTGTCACGGATCATAATGTTATTTTTCTTACAAAGATGAATAAATAAATAAATAACTGAAACTGGAAAAGAAAGAAAGTACAAAATAAAATATTTATATCAGGGAATTGTTTCCACAAAATTTCTGAATTGTGTGAACGTTAGGACTTGTGGTAAAATCATAGTAAAATATGATAATCCAGCGTAAAATATTCTCACATGAAAGTCTTTCTCTATTTCCTCATACCTTCACTTTAATTGCAATTTGTCTTTAATGTAGTCTTAATATTTCTCCAAAGCAACAGCTTTAATGTAGTCTGAAAATTTCTCAAATTTTTTCTGTGGAAGTTTAATCGTTATTACAATTTTTCGATAGAAGAATGATAATTCCTGGCAGTAAAAAGAAAAATTATAAATAGTTTAACTATAGTTATTAACTCAATATTAATAAAAAATGATATCATTATATAATATTTAAGATGGAAATCAGTTGTTCTACTTGATATGTTTATTGACCAGCCTATGATATAATAAGTACTCACAAGTCATATTAACAATGATTCGATTGGTGTAAACACTAAATAGATAACAATATGCTTTTTTTTTTTTTTTGAACAACAACAATATGCTTCTTTATTTAAGAAAAAAAACGAATGTTCGAAACAATATTGTATTGCCAACAAATGACTAAAGAAGCATCGTTATATATCAACTAGTAATTAACAATCAGATCTTAGTTATCAAACCTAATAACATGGGCCATGTCATTGGCAGCTTCTAAACTAATCCTCTTTTTTTATAAAGGATATAAACTAATCCATTTTTTAAACAAAAACTTTACGGATTAATTAAATATTATAAACGCTCTCTAATAAAATATATATTTTTGTCTCATAGTATTTAATTTTCTGGCTAAAAGTAATCTTTTCCATTAATATAATTTTGACTAATAAGACGCGTATTAAAAGATTTTTGTTACAAAGAATTTTCTAAGAAAACTGAGGAAAGTTTCTTGGGTATTTCGTGAATAAAGTCAAAATAATAATTAAATGAAAAAAGTCAGTTTAATTTTCTTTTTTAAAAAGCCTATAAAAAGGGGTGTAACAAGCCAGTCAATCAATAGAAAAGTCTAGCTGGACAAGTGGGTCCCATTTACTACCATCTCTTCTTTCTCTTCCTCCTCTTGTCCTAACAAAAAAAAACATTTCTCTTTTTGTTCGATTCAGGTTAGCTTCTGATCATCAATCAACACACAGTTTCTTTGTCCCAGTAACTAGATTATCTCTTATGGGAAACTGCTTCTCTGAAGATGTCTCCTCTGGCCCTGGCGCTAGAGCCAGCGTTAGTGGAACTGCTTCCTCCTCCACGGCTCTAACCACTACTAACGATGCTGTTGATTACTATCTTAAGTCTCGTGGCTTCAACGGTCTCTTCTCTCAGATCGAGGTTACCTCTCTTCTTCTTCTTCATCACTTTATCTTTGTATCTTGTGAGAAGGGTTTTAGGGTTTGATAATGTTTTTTTGGCAGTTATCCTTTTCTGCTTCAAATTTACGAGATCGTGACGTGCTCTCCAAGGTTTGTTTTCATTTCAAAATTGAATCTTTTGCCTAGATTCTTCTGAAATTTATGACTTTTTTAATTTATTTCTGCAGAGTGATCCTATGGTGGTTGTGTATAAGAAGGAAAAAGATGAGACACTCTCCGAAGTGTTCCGCACAGAAGTTGTTTTGAACTCTTTAGCTCCAAAATGGATTCAGAAATTCACACTGGCCTATCATTTCGAGACTGTGCAGACATTCTTGTAAGCTTCTTCTAAACAGTCTTCTTATATATGTCACTGAGGAAAGAGTTCTTTTAAATACCTTTACCTGAAAGTATATGACTCCTTGTATACACAGGTTTCGTGTGTATGATGTTGACACCAAGTATCAAAACTCAAGAGAGGAGGTAACCCCTGCTAATCTATTTACATTTTGATGTGATGGAGATGGACTCTTTTATCTAAAAATGTTAATTAAGTGTACTTTTGTCGCTTTAAAAGTGGGCACCAGCACCCACATGCTTGTGTCTCAACTCTCAACTTACTATTTAAAAATTTACTTTTCAGATGCTTAAGCTTGAGGATCAGCAGTTTCTTGGTGAAGCTACATGTGCATTGTCTGAGGTATCATCAACTGCTTATAAGCTATCCTTTTGCTTATTGCCATTGTAATTATATGTAGACTTTGTTTGCTTTAGAAAGAGAGAGTGAGAAGAAACTTAGTTTATATTTACTTTTCGACCCACGCAGATAGTAACAAAATCAACTAGGACTATTACATTAGAGCTAAAGCGCTCACAGACTCAGCCTCACCATGGAAAGCTTATTGTCCATGCTGAGGAGTGCCTTGCTTCCAAGATTTCAACAGAGATAGTATTCAGATGTTCAAGTTTGGAATCTAAAGATCTTTTCTCAAAAAGTGTAAGTTTTGTTGATTCATTCTCTTTGCCTTTTTACATAAACATAACTTGTTTTTCTTTTTCTTTTGTTCATCCTTAGGATCCATTTTTGGTGGTATCAAAGATTGTGGAGCACGGAACTCCAATCCCAGTGTCTAAAACTGAAGTCCTGAAGAACAATCTTAACCCTATTTGGAAACCACTCTCCCTAAGTGTTCAACAAGTCGGTAGTAAGGTACTGAATGAATATAAAGTTTCTGTCTCTCTCTGAGATGTCTCAAATGTTCTTCTATAATCTTGCAGGACAGTCCACT